AGTTATTTTTGTCTTTATATTCATAGAGGGAGTAAGCCTTGCATTAGAATCTTGAATTTGATATAACTCATTAAAAAACAATCTGTCAATGTCAATGTCAAAGTATAACAAGTCAATTGGTGTATACCTGCACTTTGACAATTATAAAAACTTACCTTTGCGTAAAAAATCAGTCTGACCATCTTTAAAACCAGATTCTTTCCACCAAGAATAATTTGACATCGGATTGTTCTTCATTTTATCAAACTGGGTGTATTCTGCTATTTGATCAATTTCTTTCTCACTTAATGATTTACCTAAAAACTTACTCACTTCCCTGATGACTGACTTAATGTCCTACAAAGACAATTTAAAAACATCAATTTTCGAGAATTTAACAGCTCATCTCATGCTGCCAATGGGGCAGATTCGCTAATTCAGGAGTAAATCGTACTTTAGTTTCAAAAACAGAAATTGTCCCTTCGAACTAATCACTAATAATGTTCACAGCATACCATCCAAATTGTGGGCTTCGTTTCCACGGTAAGTTTTTTTTAAGGAGTTATCTTTCCAAGAGCCTCCTGTTTAAAAACAGTAAGACTTGATAAAAAAAAAGAATTTAGTACAGCGACAGCATTGGTATTTTATTTTATAGACTTACAACCTTCAGATACCCCCAATATAATGAAAAAATATTGTAATAGATACCTTTTTCATATCTTCATATTTCACAAAGAAAACATTTTCATTATCTTTTTGTTTCCATGCTTCTAATACATGATTCCACCATGGAGAATAAATACCTAAAATCAAAAACAAAATGTCACACTTAAAAAATTTTATGATGAGCATCCGCAAAGGATATATTTGTACCGCCAAAATATTCTCAAAACCATCTTAGCGCTAGGATGTCCTAGGTTCTTATCTTCTAACATTAATTCTATGACATCCGAGCACTAAGATCGTTTTGAGAATACGTGGACTGGATTGGTCTTTTTTTATGGGAAATACATTGATGGCATGTTTTCATTTATATAAGCACCAACAGAATTGCCACTTGTTAAGATAGTGGACCACAGCCATATACGCCCACCACAGCATGCGGATGGTAAATATTCCAGATTTTGGGGCAAGGGCAATAACTCTGCTTCTAACAGTCGAAAATAGCTCAAATTCGAACTTGATCTTCCCCCTTTATGAATATGTATACACATACCAAATTTCATTTGAATCCATCAAAAAATCTAGTTTTTAGACGGACCGACAGACGGACGTATGTGGGCATATAAAAATGAAATGAACCAGGAACTAAAGTTACTTACATTTCCCATCTATAAAACTATCTACAAAATCATCTATTGTACCAGAATAGGTGATGACTTTTAACATTTTATGGAAATGGTAATAAGAAACTACAGTATCTTTTGGATTACGAGCTACATACACAATCTACAAAATAAAATTTGTGACAACAATATTTAACATAAGGTTATTAGCTTTGAAAACAGGTTGAAAATTATCAGAGCCAATCTGAAACTTAAAAATATATTCATCTAACTCAAGCAGAAGCTTCAAAATTTAACATTTTTAAGGAAAACAGTAATTGAGAAAAAATTAGCGTATAAGACATCAAAATACAAAAACTCATTCCTTACCTTTGGCTTTGTCTTTAATA